ACTGGAAAGACAAAACACGATTCATCTTAGGGAGAGAGGGAGAGAGAGAATGGAAAACAAATAAATAAATAAGGGAATGAGGGCTTGAGGGTGACAACAAGGGCGACAGACTCGGCCGATGCTGCTCTGTTGGTCTGCTGGCAATTGGCAAATGGTGAAACTGAAGGCAAACGATGGCAGTTGGGACTGCTGCTGCTGCTCTTGCTGTTCTCCCATTTAATGAGGCTTTTGGTGACGGCAGTTAGCAGAGAGGAAGGGGCAAATGTTTAAAGTTGAGCCCGGCTGCTGCTGTTGATGCTCTTGGTCCTACTATTGTAGTGTACACGGCCAGCGCTCGACTAATGGGCGACCAATTACGTAAATGGAGACACGCGCCACTCATTCAGCGCCACCGATTTATGAGCTGTCCATTTGGTCCATTGCTTTCTCTGGCCAACAGTGTGTGGTACGTGGGTGGCAAAGCGCGCCAAACTCAGTAGAGTTGGTGGTAATAGTGTCGTCGGATTCGTCAAATCGAATAACGTCGATTGGAGTAATTTGTCGCAGCTAAAGAAATGGCCACTATTCAATTGCGAAGAGGAGGCTAAGCCAGCAATCAATCGCGACACCCTGGTGTGGTTCTCATTACTACATGACGACTACTGCTGGGGAACAATGGCAGCACTCGCTCACACACTCACATTGTCAACAAGTCAAGAAGCAGTCAAGTTGAAGTTGGCCAAGTGATTCAATTCATTTGGCACACGCATCTGAATAATGGACATAAACATGAGCATCATCATCACTTGATGTTTTTAGGCTAAAAAACAACTCACTGACGATGTCGCTAATGAGTCCACTCACTCCAAACTATGGCTGCAAAGTTGATGCGCTCTAATTGGGCGCATGGTGTTGGGCAAACAATCGAGAGGCAGTTGTTTCGGTTGTGACAGCGCATCGACAGGACATCAACGCAAAGGAAGTCAACTGCTTGGCACTCTGCTAACTCTATACTACAAGTCTAATATCTAAATTGTTAACTACAGTTAAACTAAGTGGAGAAGCACGCTTTGGCAGTGAATTATTTTAATTAGTCACAATAAAAAAGCTGCTTCAAATCTAAACGCTAACAAGTTCTCTTTAGTCAAATTGGAGCAGCAGCGTTTGAACAATGCAGTAATCAAATTGTGGACAGTAAACTGTGAACGCAATCCCTCTGACCTAGTATATTCAAATGAGATGAGAGAGTGAGAGTGAGCAGCCTTAAACTTTTTCTCTATTGCATAAGCGAGCTGACAATCTAATTGAATGGTGCAAATGTAAGTGCTTTTCGTTGAAATGAAAGTATTACAAGTCAATTGAAAAGGGAAAGGACTTACCAGAGCCTGCTGTTTGCTTGACGGGCGATTGATTTCAGTGAAAGTGACAAGGCACCATTTAAATTACAAAAGCATCATGTTTGCAAGCGACATATTGAAGAACCCATTCAATCAAAAGAAAAATGGCAACTTATTCCAAGTTATTTCAAGGGGCAAAATTCTGTATCTGACACGCTTCAAAAAAGTGGAATAATTTAGAATCTTGTAGAATCTCACTTGGTTCTAGTGAAAAAGAAAAAATTAATCAGTTTGTCAAACTTTCATAGAAAATACCTGCTGATCAGAGTGAGGTTTCACCAGAAAACCACAAAATCGGAAAAACGANAACCCATTCAATCAAAAGAAAAATGGCAACTTATTCCAAGTTATTTCAAGAGGCAAAATTCTGTATCTGACACGCTTCAAAAAAGTGGAATAATTTAGAATCTCGTAGAATCTCACTTGGTTCTAGTGAAAAAGAAAAAAATTAATCAGTTTGTCAAACTCTCATAGAAAATACCTGCTGATCAGAGTGAGGTTTCACCAGAAAACCACAAAATTGGAAAAACGATTTTTTTTGCTTCACTGTGTTGCCCATTTGCACCCAAGCAGTGCCAGCTTTTGTCAGCCGATTTTTTGACATGTGTTTTTGAGCGCTGTTTTCTGGCCGCATCTTTTTGAAGTTTTACCGGCTTTTTTCTTGATCAGTTCATCAAAGCAGCAAGATGTCAAAGTATCGTGACAACAAGAAAAAACGTTATGAAAAGATTGAATTTCTAGGTGAAGGACAGGTAAGATCACAGTGTTGTTAAAATTGTTCAACTTTGTATTATTTTTGTCTTTCTAGTTTGCCACTGTTTACAAAGCAAAAGACTTGGTAAATGACCAGATAGTTGCTGTGAAAAAGGTTTGTTGCTGTTTTCCAATTAAAATTACTCTTTCTAATGATGGTTTTAAACTTGACAGATTAAATTAGGCTCAAGGGCTGAAGTTAAAGATGGAATCAACCGAACTGCCTTGAGAGAAATTAAAATATTGCAAGAGTTGTCTCACGATAACATTATTGGAGTGAGTTTTTGTTATTGCTTTTTGGACTCAATCGTGTNAAAACGTTATGAAAAGATTGAATTTCTAGGTGAAGGACAGGTAAGATCACAGTGTTGTTAAAATTGTTCAACTTTGTATTATTTTTGTCTTTCTAGTTTGCCACTGTTTACAAAGCAAAAGACTTGGTAAATGACCAGATAGTTGCTGTGAAAAAGGTTTGTTGCTGTTTTCCAATTAAAATTACTCTTTCTAATGATGGTTTTAAACTTGACAGATTAAATTAGGCTCAAGGGCTGAAGTTAAAGATGGAATCAACCGAACTGCCTTGAGAGAAATTAAAATATTGCAAGAGTTGTCTCACGATAACATTATTGGAGTGAGTTTTTGTTATTGCTTTTTGGACTCAATCGTGTAATTGCTTGAATTTTAGCTTCTAGACGTTTTTGGTCATGTATCAGAAATTTCGCTCGTTTTTGATTATATGAAAACCGATCTTGAAGTGATCATAAAAGACAACAACATATACCTCACACCTTCACATATCAAGTCATACATCATTATGACTCTTCAGGGGCTTGAATATTTGCACAATAAGTGGATTCTCCATCGGGTAAGACTATCTTTGGTTGATGTCTTTGTTTACACTATTTTGTTTTGTAATTGTGGATTAGGATTTGAAGCCAAACAATCTTCTAATTGACGAGCACGGCGTACTCAAGATAGGCGATTTCGGTCTTGCCAAAGCCTTCGGATCACCAAACCGAATCTATACCCATCAAGTGGTCACACGATGGTACCGCGCTCCAGAGCTGCTGTACGGCGCTCGAATGTACGGAACAGGTGTTGACATTTGGGCGGTTGGGTGCATCATTGCTGAGCTTCTCCTGCGAGTACCATTCCTTCCCGGCGTCAATGATTTAGATCAGCTTTTGAAAATTTTCAACGTTACGGGCAGTCCAAATGAAACAAACTGGCCGGTAAGATTTTGATGAATCGAGTTAACNTTAGATCAGCTTTTAAAAATTTTCAACGTTACGGGCAGTCCAAATGAAACGAACTGGCCGGTAAGATTTGGAAAACTTGGGTTAATNTTAGATCAGCTTTTAAAAATTTTCAACGTTACGGGCAGTCCAAATGAAACAAACTGGCCGGTAAAATTTGAAAAAGTTGGGTTAATTGATTTGTACTAATTATGCTCGTTTCACAGGGAGTCATCAACTTGCCCGACTACATTAAATACAACCAAAACGAGTCAGTGCCATTTGAGAACATCTTCACTGCGGTGAAGGACGACATGATCAAGCTACTGTACACGATGCTCGCCCTGAACCCCTCCAGTCGGTGTACCTGCTCACAGGCGCTGCAAATGCCCTACTTCAGTAATGATCCAGCCCCAACACCGCCCAGTATGCTGCCTCAACCCAAGGGCAGCAACAGTGATGACTTTGAAGATATGAACCTGGAAAGGTCGGCTACCAAGCGACCTCTTTCTAGCACCAATGAAAAGTTGGCACCAACAGCGAAGAGACTAAACTTTGACGAGTGAAACAAACTAGATATTATACTTTGGTATGGTAATGAAATATATTTGTTTTATTTCTTTAACTCTTAAATGCGAGATGAATAGGAAAAAATGCACAGGGAGTGGCAGTAGAGAAAAAACCTTGATTNTTTGGTATGGTAATGAAATATATTTGTTTTATTTCTTTAACTCTTAAATGTGAGATGAATAGGAAAAAATGCACAGGGAGTGGCAGTAGAAAAAAAAACCTTGATTCAGTCGATTTGTGCCCTTTCATTTGGAGTAGTCGTGTTCATTGGCCGGCTTGAAGCCCACTTTTTTCATGATTCTCAGCAGGCTCGTTTTGGATATCTTCAACTCCTTGCAGGCAACTCGGGTAGACTTTTTATTGTTCGTCAGATACTGCCGCACCTCTTCAATCTTCTGGTCTGAGGTTACGGAAGTGGGCCGTCCAGAGCGGGCCCGGTCGATGACTGTGCCCTCCTTCTCGAACTTGCTGTTCAGATTGCGAATGGAAGATCGTGTTGGCGGTTCGGCGCCGTCGAATCGTTTCATGAAGGCCTCCTTTATTGCTTTGTAATCTCGCTGGTTCTTCCAGTACTGCTGCAGAACGAAGACCCGCTGTTGCATGGTGAAACGATTGGTGTGGCCCTTCCAGTTGCCTTTGTTGTTCGACGGCTGACTTTTCTTCGTCGAAAGGTAATCCTCCGAATCGATTTCGTCCTTTTCGAGAAGATCTTCGAGCACTTCTGATGGCTGCTCACCACAGTGGTCAACGCCAAGCTGTCCGTTGCTCATGATCTCCTCTCCTTTCATACTGACGGGCTCCAGCGTTTCATAGTTCTGCAGCTCCGCATGAACCGTATTTTGGTCTTCAATGGAGGTCATCTGTGACATGCCCAGCTTATTATCATCAATGTTCACATATTGCAAACTCAGCGCCACATTGGTCAGAGTATTGAGGTTGGCCGTGTAAATCGAAGACATCTCACTGGAACACTGTACCGAGAGCTCATCTTCAGGAGCGCTAGAGTTTACAAGTTCGTAGAGCGTTTGAGCAGTTGGATCAATGTTCCCTCCGCCATCACCACTGCCACCACCACCGGCGCTGTCACAGCCGGTGATGTCCATCATCGGCTGGTCCATATGGAACGATTCAAATCCTCCCTTACTGAGGCCGTTTTGATGGTACTTCTTCTGAAGATGAGGCGACTCGCAGCGAAAAAACGTAAACAACAGCGCCGAGCCAAAAAGTGCGCGCCTAACTCTACTGAAGCTCTGAAGATGGCGTAGCAGTGAGAGTTCAAACATTTCAAAATAAAAGCTGAAAAGTTGCCCAACTTCAAATCACCCCCCAGATTGGACTTTGATCACCAAAACTCCTGGCACTACTGATTGTTCCCTCTACGATTTCTCACGCAGAACAAAAATAGAAACCGATACTGAAGCAACACAGCTTAACAGATGGCTCAGCAGTATGCTCCCTCAGATGATGCCGCTGTATTCACTTGTGTACACTTGTGGACTTTTTTCATCCATATTTTCGCTCGAGTACCAAACAATTACAATGGAAATGATGACTGTACTTTGGCACAGATCCCTGCCAGTCCTATCGGAACTTGCAATCGCCAGTAATGTGATGCTAATTGGCAGCACACCAGCATCTGACAACAACAACAGCACCACAACCATCATCATCATCATCAGCAGTATGTTACCTTCGGAGGTTGCCGACCCTTCGCAGATCGCATCTACCAGAGTCCTTTTGTGCTCGTGTGCACAAATACGTGGGTGACGTGTTTGCGTCGTGCTCAGGCATCATTTCTGGCGTCCTGTCAACAACTTTTTTGGACTACCTCAATCACTTGGTTCAATCGCTCGGCCTACTCTACCATAGTCGCATCAGTTGCTCGTGTGTTCGGACAGCTGCTGTGCCTGTCGAAGAACCAGAATGTCCTCACGCAAAGTGTAGACCTTAAACTCGGACTAAAGTGTTTGTTTGTCTTTTCTCCACCCGATATTTATTACTTTCGCCAAATCAGGTCACCACTGACTCTGGCCTTGACATACAAATGCACAGGCACAACGTAGATCGTTGTACTCTGTGCTTCTAACCTTATCAAAGTGCTTCTTGACCCAATCTGAGATTGACAGAGTTGCACTCGTGCTTCAGCAGCGACAGTTTGGCTGGTGCAAAATATTGTCTTGCTCGAGCAGCCTAATTTTCAATCCCTTTGTGGTTGCAGCATCACCAAGCATTGCTCATCGCTCACTAGACACCAATCAAGTGTGTCTACATCTTATCAGAAGGTTCAATCTGTAATGAAATGTTACACACTTTAGCATGACATCTTCTTTCTAAAAATGCTATATTGGTACTTTCAACGATTTCCCAACAGCGACAACAAAAGCATCCTTTTGTTCGGTAATGAGGTGTTTTACACACCCCACTGTTGCTGTCTCAACTAACATACATTCAGTGCCTATTGAATCATCAGTATCAATTAGCACACAGCCTGAGAATGGCCACTTTTTCTCCTTTCTCACTTTTTTTTGGTGAGGGGCCAAAAACACCGACAACAGCATCACCATCCTCAGTGATAGCACCTAACTGCCGCAGCTGTAGCCAAAGTTGGACTCACTGAAATTAATCGTGCGTGGGAGATTTTTATTTTTTGTCTACTTTTTTGCTGCTCAATCGGTGGAGTGCCTCTTCAAACCTTTTCCCCCAAACATCGCTCTTTGGAGCACTGTCACACACTAAAATGCCCCCATCTCTTTTCCTTCTACCGGTCTCCCCTCGAGGAAATGGAAGAGATTCTTGCGTTGGGTTTTGGTTTCTCTACAGATAGTTCACTACACCTCAAACTAATTCGGTGGTATGATTCACAAGATCACCAGCAGCAGCATCAGTATCAGCATAGTACAATCGCCAACTGATCACCCGGGCCACAATTTTGTTATTGGCAAGAATAGCAATGTGAACCTGATGTCAGCTACTGTGTGTACGGTGCGGTAATCAGTCTGTCTGATCGAGGTGTGTGTGATGGATGCAGAAGGAGAGATGATCAGAAATATAAATAGCAGCAGTAGGCTAGTTGGGCACACTCAGACAAACAGTGTTTGTGGTGCACAAATTGCATACAAACAAGGCTCGGTACATCTGGTGACGGCCACCAGCACCATCACCACTTGTTGACTGTCCGCCAATAGTCGATAGTGATCATGCCGCCGCTTGGTGCTGGTGCAATGCTGTGGCGCTTTTCACTTTTCATCACACTCTCCATTTGTGGGTTCAGGCCCACTAGCACCAAAAGTACTTCTTCCTTTTCCCACAGTACCGCTACATGGGCGAATGGATCTGGATCAGTGCCATTCGCTGACAGAGGCTCAGGTGACTACTCGAGTCCCTGCTGTCCACTTACTCGTGTACTTACAAGCTTACGGGCTTTCTGACTGCTGCTCTGCTGTTGACCGGAGCAGCTGTCTGGAAAAGCCCGGTCACTGTCGGTCAGTGTACAGGCATTGTTGTTGTCTGGTGGTGGTTCTCTCCACACTTTCAGTCCGCTTTGAGTGGTACTATTTTTGAACCACTCTCTTCACTGTCGTTGTTGTTGCTGAAGTCCCTAAAATAGATATTCTTTCAATTTAGCATCAAGGGTGGGCTGTGTGTGCGTGTGCAGCATCACACACACTGTGCGGTGGTCGCTGACCACAAAAAGATGGGTTTTCACCACCACCACCATCTGAGCGACGGTGATGCTACTGACCTAGTTACCGTTGATCTCTAACTGCACAGTACCGCCGTGCCGATCATCTCCTTTTGTTTATCTTTCCCTTCACTTTTCAGTACAGCCTCTCTCTTTCTCTGTCTGTCTGGCCGCATCATTTCACGCAGACAGACTTTCATGCCTAGAGGAGAGAAAGAGAAAGANGTGTGCGGCATCACACACACTGTGCGGTGGTCGCTGACCACAAAAAGATGGGTTTTCACAACCACCACCATCTGAGCGACGGTGATGCTACTGACCTAGTTACCGTTGATCTCTAACTGCACAGTACCGCCATGCCGATCATCTCCTTTTGTTTATCTTTCCCTTCACTTTTCAGTACAGCCTCTCTCTTTCTCTGTCTGTCTGGCCGCATCACTTCACGCAGACAGACTTTCATGCCTAGAGGAGAGAAAGAGAAAAAGAGAGTCAGTGAGAGTGAGTGCCGCAAAGCGCTAATCTTGGCCGCGGCTGAATTGAGAACAGACAAGGGAGAAAGAAGCGGTGAAGATGAAGATGTTCGAGTGAGTGAGTGAGTGTAACGACTTTGATGCGGCTGCAGTAGTGCGGCGACTTATCAAATCAGTAAGTGACTCCAACGAGCAATGGTGAAGGGTGAAAGTGTGAAGGCTAGCTAGAGGCTACTGACCGACATTGTGGGCAGGGCTGACCAATGGTCGAACAGTCTCGAAGCACCTCGAAGCTAAAGGTCGAAAGCGGCACTTTATATTTAGCAGTTGATGCAGTGATGGATGGCTATTTTTAACAACCATAAAGACTTCTAGCTTTTTGTGGCAATTCTTTGTCAAATGTTTCTGTTCATGGTGCTATTTTTTAGAAAAATTAAACGTTTTAGGTTTCTGGTAACTGTCAAAATAAATGCAATTAGATACTGATGATAGTTGTCAATTTACAAAAAACCAAATTACTTTAAGCAAATGAAATTTTATTTTGCCTTTTCTACTGTGAACAAACAACAACAAATGAAGATGAGCAAAATTGACAGGTAATCAAAAGGTGAAAGTGAATGTGCAGTGTTATAACTTAAATAGGAGTAGGCAATCTGATTATACACATTGGCCTGAAGTGTCAGTGTGGTGGTAGTGGTAATGCTATTTACAGTAAGTGCTTTGGTATGTTCTCAAATAGATATAAAATGGTTTTAAGTAGTGGTCGAAAAGAAAGAGAGCGACAAATTGGGGTGGTGGATGAGTGCCAGCCTCAGTGCTGCCAATGCTTGGTGGCTACGAATGT